AGTGCTTCGTCGTGGCCTTTGTATGAAGAAACCCGGAAGCGCACAAGAATGCCGGCTTACCAAGGTACTGCGCGCGCTCTCCTCCTAGAAATGAGGGTAATTCGGTCTCTTGTCTCACCGGGTATGCGGTATGCAACTGACGATTCTAGCTTGCTATTCGTACGCCTGCACGACTTCAGTCTGATTTGTCCTTGTAATATCTGAACCCGAAGCTGGATCGACAAAAAGACCAAATCCAAGAAATCTGGAGCAGCATAAGCCAACCGTCAAAGTGCGCCTGTCAATCGGCACCTGGGCAACACTGACTGGTGGTGCTACTCCTGCTGCTACTACCGCTAGCATTGCCACTCCGACAATGACTACATCCGCACCTGGGCTACAACGGTCAACTGACTGGAGGTGCTACTGGTTTTGCTGCCACTGGCGATGCCACCACCACGACGATGACGAAGAGGACAAGGACGACGACAACGGCGACGGCTACTCCTCCTACTACTACCACTACTACTACTACTACTACTACTACTACTGCTACTGCTACTGCTACTGCTACTGCTACTGCTACTGCTACTGCTACTGCTACTGCTACTGCTACTGCTACTAACTACTACTCCTACTCCTACTCCTACTCCTGCTCCTGCTCCTACTCCTACTCCTACTCCTGCTCCTACTCCTACTCCTACTCCTGCTCCTACTCCTACTCCTGCTACTACTACTTCTACTACTACTACTACTACTACCACCACCACCACCACCACCACGACTACTACTACTACTACTACTACTACTACTACTACTACTACTACTGACTACTACTACCACCACTACTACCACCACCACCACACCCACGACGACGACGACGACGACGACGACGACTACTACTACTACTGCTACTGCTACTGATACCAACACCAACAACACCATCATTATGACGACAACCACCATAACGACGACGACTACGCTACGGGCTACTACAGACTACTGACGTAACGGCGATGACACAACGGAGGAGGCGGAGGAGGAGGAGGGGGAAGCGGACGAGGACGAAGACTACCACTACTGCGCTTCTGCTAACTACTTGTTCACCAGTACTGTCAATACAACCAAGCTTATGACTAGGTTCATGCTCATTGGAGCTGCTGGGTTCCCCGGTCAGAATATGACTGCTACAGGTCGCCAATGCTACTTTGGCCACAATACCAGCTGCTATCGATAAGGCAATTGCGAGAGGCGGAATCGCTGCTGCTATGGAGCTTGGCACGGCTTGTCCACATCGGGACCGTTTTTGGGACCATTAATAAAGATCTAACCGTTATGTCACTAATTTCAAAGAGTTTCAAAAGAGCAGCAAATTGAATCTACTTCACAGAAATGCAGGGGCTTGGACCATTACCCAGAGAGCCAGATACCCATTCATTAGGGAAAACTCTAGCAGATTGCCCTCCCCACGGCTTATGCAGCGTAGCCCGGCTTTATGAGATGATGGACCACAAAGGATTACTGTGAGGGTCCAAGTACCTAATAATCATACACTCTCCCAAATACTAACCTACAAAACTACTATCCGTAAACCAAGTACCTAATCATTCGGTCCTTTGGACCCTTAGGGTTACTGTAGGTATTCAAGCCCTAAACCCTAAACCCTAAAACCCATAAGCCCTAAACCGTGGTATCTCCTTACTGTCACAAGGGGGACGGACCTCAACATATAAACCGAAACCCTCGGACTTACGGTCTACCTAAAGTGTCCATTGTAGTTCCTTTTGGGGGTTCCTTAAAGGGGTTCCTTAAAGGGGTGCCTTTATGGCATCTATAAGGGTTTCAATAGGGTTTAGGGGAGGGTTAGGGTTTAAGGTTGACCTACAGTCTGCATTGTGGTTCCTTTTTTGGTAAACCAAATTTACATTACAGGGTCCCAACCACAAAATTGGTTACCCAAAGATAGGAAGTACAACGGAGACCATAGGCATTGCCGGTTCTTCAATTGGAAGGGCCCTCAGCCCATGCAAGGGCGGAGCTGCAGTACAGGGAAAGTAGGTTGAGGGCTCAAGGAGTATAGGGCTGGCAAGGGGTTTCGGGGCGGGCTTCGGGTTTGCAAGCTTGATTTATGGTCTCCAGGCTTTACCGGGATAAAGGCTTGCCAAGGCACAAAAGAGCTAGAGGATTGTGATTTTGTAGTTGAGCTCGAGTCCAGTTCACTCTCCTTGGCAGTGCAAAGCACAAGACACTAAACCGTTAAACCATAAGCACACTGCAGTAGATAAGGCACTCAAAGCTATCAGCATGGTAGTAGTAGTAGTAGTAG